TAAATATTAAATTAAATTAATACATTTTTTAATGTTTTTATTTTGAAATAGAATCATTTAAAAATCACTTTTTAAAGTAATATTTGATTAGATTTATTTTATTACATCAACCATATTTATTACAAACTTTCATCACATTTTTCACCCTCTTTCTCTTATTTCGAACAGCACAACTTTTCACTTTCTTGGTCTTTACTTCTTTCCTTTTTTTATTTCTTCAAATCCAGTTTTTATTTCAAAAATAGGTTTAATTAACTTGTTATAAGACACTTTTGCAAAAGCAAGAAATACCGCTTCTACAAGTAAAAAAGAAGTCCAAAACAGAGGTAGTACAACTTATTTTTTGTTTAAATTGAACAGTAACCGGTAAAACTGCGCCACCAGTTTTCTGCTACCACCGCATCTGGGTAAAACCGAGTCTTTAGATTCCAGAAACACTTTTCGCGCACTCTCAGCTCTTCACTACTATCAGATTCGATCTTGATCGTCCATCTCCACCACGATCACGATGATGGCACACACGGACGGTTCAAATCCATCGTGACCTGTCAGGACTTAGATTCTCGTTGAAACTAAACAAATCCGCGCACAACCAAGTCCAGTGTTCTTTCTCTTTTCACACTCTTTCCACCTCTTTTTGAATCGTCGTTCACCAGCTCTACAGTCCAAAACAAAATCTGCAAAAATAAAATAAACAGAAAAATAACGAAGATTCCGTAGGGAAGAACAATGGCGTCCAGCGATTCCGATTCGCAGTTGAAGATCGTCCATGGCGACGCTGGTTACATTCTCGAAGACGTTCCTCATTTCACCGATTACATTCTAAATCTCCCTGTATCTCTCTCTAGGATTTACTCGATTACATTTGCGAACCGCGTCACATTGACGCATTAACTCGCCGCTTGTTTGTGTAATGTTTTTTTGCTTTCTGCAGATGTATCCGAATCCGCTTCGGTCCAATCCTGCTTACTCGGTTGTTAAGTAAGTGAATCGCCTTGCTTCGTGCTGTGATTGTGATTTGAGAATGGAATGTATTCTGTTCGAAACCTTGATTCGCTTTTTTTTTTCATCTGTTCAGACAGTATTTCGTGCATATGGACGACACTGTGCCTCAGAAGGTTCTGTCTGTTTTTATTTGCGACGGCGGCCTGTTTGTGCATTTATTTCTCCGTTTTATCCATCTTAAACACTTCTGCTATGTATTATTTTTGCGCTGCCTGGCCTATTAAGTATCAACAACGACTTTGCGATTGAATTAATGTTTATCGCTTCGTTCGATGGTTGGCGGAACAAGAAACTCTTTACATCGGTTACTGATACTTGATCAATTATAATTAACGGAAACACTGAACTGAACCTCTTTCTTTTCAACGGTGAAGATGGAAAATAAATGGAATCGTGGATTTATGTATTGTACATCAGCATTACCAAGAAACATTGTTGTTTATGCTTTTATTTGGCCTTTTTGATAGGTTGTTGTTCACAAGGATGGTCCAAGAGGTGTACATTTTAGACGTGCAGGCCCTCGACAAAAGGTAATTTCACTTGGTTGTTTGCATATATTAAGAATATTTGAGAATGAATAATCTATTCCGTTTCAACTCACCGACATCTAATCTAATAGGTATACTTTAGATCGGATGATGTGCACGCATGCATTGTCACTTGCGGCGGACTATGCCCTGGCCTCAACACTGTCATAAGGGAAATTGTCTGTGGTCTTTCTTACATGTATGGTGTTAACAAAGTCCTTGGCATAGATGTGAGTGAGAAAATTCTCTTTTGTTGTATGTTCATCATATTATCTGTTGCTGTGAATTGTATATCCCGTGATTTGCATGGTAAGAAAGCTTATACCGTTATGATGTGCTTCTCTGTCCCTTCTTTGTGTTTGTAAATCTTATTTCATCCTTGTAACTCAAATTGCATGTGTAGTTTACTGGACTATTAGTCAAACAGACTCTGATTTCGTACAAACTCTTGGTTTGGATTTATTCCTTATTTTCCTATTTTAGAGACATTCTTAAATACAGTTAAACGTAGTATAAGTTGCAACTTTTGAATTAAATCTCAGTTTTTGGTTTAGCTTTTTGCTTAGGAGAGCTTTTGTTAAACATTTTCTAGGTAAAAATACCAAACTCTGTTTATTTAATAATTGCTCATGGAGAAGTTAAATGAAAAGGTTTTAGAAAAAGGTTAAGGTTCATGAATTAATTTAAACTCAGCAAGAAGTTAGATTCAGCTTATCTCCTTAATTCATTTTATTTTCTTCTTCCATAAATGTTTATCAGGAAGTTTATACAAACTAGCTGTCATTAAATGTTTTTCGACACATCTAATTGTCTTTGTGATCATTTTAATGTTTGTATCAAGCAAGTTCTCTGTCTCTCATAGTTGGTTTTTCTTCACTGCATTAGATTTGGGAATTTTTGTTTTGTTTAGTTTGGAACCTTGATGACCTATGGTTATGAAAGAAATCATGAACCTTTTTTTCTTAAATACTTCTTGCCATGATGATAAATATATGTGAATAAAACATTAGTAACGATGGTAAGCTGACTAGCTGCTATGAAACCTTTCAATAACTGGTAGTTTAAGGAATCCTACATTTTTGTATTTATTGTCAAAAGACAGCATATTGAATACAATGTGTGATGTAGTGTTTACATGAGATATGTGCATTTCATTGTTTTTGCAAGTTCTGGCAAATTAATGCACGTGTTTATTGAGAATTTCCCGCAGATACTGGACTGAACAAACTTTTGGGTTTCATGGAGACAATTTACTATTCACACTTTTTTTTTCCTGTTGTTGGTCTTTTAACCTCAGTTACACTTCTTCATCCACTGTCTTCACCACTATATTGTATCCAAACTTTATACAGGGAGGTTATAGAGGTTTTTATTCCAAGAACACCATTACTTTAACACCTAAGGTGGTCAATGACATCCATAAGCGTGGAGGTACAATTCTTGGGACGTCACGAGGGGGGCATGATACCAGCAAGATAGTTGACAGCATCCAGGATCGAGGAATTAATCAGGTTTACCATGTGTCAACTGTATTATAGTGAAGTTTCTAATGACGATGAATGCTGGAATTACAAATTTAGAGTTTAGTTATATCGATGTGCTTGAAACTTGAGTAGGTTATTGTCATTGCATGGGTTTACATTGTTTGAATTCTTGTTACAGGTTTATATTATTGGAGGAGATGGTACACAGAGAGGAGCTACTGTGATTTATGAGGTAGGTATTGAAATTCAAAATTTTTAAAAATCTAATGTTTCTATTTTTATCTACGATAAGAAAAATAAGAATATCATTTCATTGAAAAAGAAATATGTTTAATATATACCTTTTTAAGATTATGAGTAGCATATTTGTGTACTTGATTTGGTTTATTTGTTGATTTTCTTGATTATGTTCAATGAAGGCAGATGATTAGCCATTCCAAGTTTAATTTACTTTTTCAATCTTAGTTGACATCTCATAAACTTACTTATGTTCACTCTATTTGCTAATGACACTAAGAGAAGATAGTACAAATAAAATAATTTCGAATGACAAATTATAGATTATTAATAATTAATGATGTTCTTACGAGGACTGAAATAACCATATAAGACCAAGATGCTTTCTTCAACTTGCTCTATTGTGCTTGCTTGCATGTGTCTTCAGGTCTCCGGATGTGTCAGTATGTCTCCTTTGCACTTCTCTAATTGAGAGAAATGACGTTTCTACAAAGAAAAACACTTCAATGCTCAAATCAGCAAATCATATTGAAAGCATAATAAATGTGCAATCAATGAATAGTGTATACTTAAGAAATGTGAACCTATTTATAATATTTGAATGGACTTTTGCTTGGATGATCCTAGATTAATTCAATCCAATATCCTAAACACCTGATTAATTTCTTATTGAATATTTTGTTGCTTAATGGTGTTTATTCCACTAATATGAGCCGATGTTGGTGTCGTGACCAACATAAGCACCAATGAGTACATTGGCCCTAAGCTCAAGAGGTAGTTGAGAGGCTAATGAAGAAAATTTCCATTTCTTTGGTGGTTGAGATCTTTTTGGCTATCACAATATATTGGCCCCTCAAGCACTTCTCGTATGTCCTTTTCTTGATGGGTGTTGTCTTGACTTGGACCTTGTTGCGAAACCCTTTTAAGTTCTTCTAACTACTTGAACTTAGCTGCTAGATGTCTTAATTCTTCTAGGTTGGCTGTGGGTTTGTTCCGCAAACTGTTGGCAAAGGGGCCTAGTCTTAGAATGGTGATCATGTGGTATACCTTGGGATGTTTCGTATGTTAAGCACCACCTTGCCAAAGTGCTCCATAAAGGTCCATAGTGATTCCCCTTTCTCTTGCTTGCTTGTTTATGTCTCCTTCACACTTCTCTGACTAAGAGGGATGGTGTGCTAACAAAGACACTCTAACGGCTTGAGTCAACAAAACACATTAAAACTGTAATAATTATGCAATCAATTTACAATGTATACCTCATAAACGTGAATTTATTTATAATATTTTAATAGACTTCTACCTGGGTGAACCTATATTAACTTAATCAACTAGCCTTAATAACTAATTAGTGCCTTTTTTAATATTTAATCGCGTAATGGTGTTTATTCACCTAATTTGAGCTGATGTTGGTGTTGGTGACCGTCATCATCTCAACACCAAGTAGTACAACTGACAAGTCTCAGATTCATTCCTTCTATTTGCTCAAGGTGGGAACTGTTTTTTTCGTAATTTATGCATATTTCCGCTCTTATGCTTGAGCCCTTTCCGTTTTATTCCAATAAACAGCACAATGATGATAGTATATATCTTATGTAGATGTAGTGTCAGTGGCAAAGTTGACCCAGGTCCTTAAGTGCAAATTAAATAGAGTCTTAAAACCTTAAACTATGCTGGTTTGCAAATATAATGCAGTCTTTTTCATATAGGTCAAGTTTCATGGTAGTTTCAAGGGATTGTTAAGAGCATGTGATTTTACTCAAAGAAATTTGGTAGCATAAAATTTATAGCTGTCTGTCCCGATTGACCTGAAATCATTCTTTTAATATATGAATTAAAGATTCTGAACAGATGTTGGTATTGTACAGGAAGTTAGACGGCGGGGTCTGAAAGTAGCAATTGCAGGAATTCCCAAAACCATAGATAATGACATCCCGGTATGCTTGTTCCAAATGTTGTTATTTTGTTTCTCTAGAACTCTAGTTTTACTATTAAACGCATCTGAAGTGTTTGTTATCTATGTTTGAGAAAACTTCATGTGGAATTGTCTTGTTTTTCTTTAGGTTATTGACAAATCCTTTGGTTTTGATACTGCGGTCGAGGAGGCTCAACGTGCCATCAATGCAGCACATGTTGAAGCTGAAAGTATTGAGAATGGCATTGGTGTTGTAAAGCTAATGGGACGTTATAGTGGTATGATTACATTGCATTTGTTTGTTATGTTTTAGGCATCTAATTCAGATTATTTAAGCCCTAATTGGTTTCCCAATTGGCTTAGTCAGACTCTTTTTTTTGGAGCTGGTTTGTTAGGAGGTTGAAAGTATACGAGAGACGTAAGAAACGTGAATAGGCTAACTGCCTTGGCAGTTAGGAAGAGCGGGAAATAACTTCATATAAATAGTTTAGAATAAACGTTTTATACAGTTTTGGATTAATTGTGAATTCTGACAGGAATTATCATCCTGTGGGGGAGGTTAGGCTCTCTTTGTTTCTGATATTCTGCACTTTGGGTTATTGTTAATAAAAGGAGGAGGTTATTCATCAGTTTATATTGTGTGCTTGGTGTAGTCTGTGTTTGTTTGTGAAGGTTTCTTGAGAAGAAACCTATCAATTTGGTCCGACCTGCCGGATCCCAAATTGAGTGCAAAATCCAAAAAATGGAGGTAACCACTGAAGGAAGACTGGAGGCACTGGAGATTACGATGGAGGGTATGAAGGAGGAGTCCGCTGCTGTACGAAGAGATTTGCAACAACTAATGAGAATGATGGGGGCTCAGACGAATAACAACGACGGGCAGTCGGATGGAAGTCAAGCATCCGTAAATGGGAATCAGCGGAGGCGCGAGGAGGAAAATGGAGGTAGAAGGAACGGCGATCAACCGGAGGTACAGAGTAATTGGAGGAATAAGGTGTACTTACCCACATTCGAAGGCGTAGAACCTCTCAGTGGATCAATCGAGCGGAACGGTTCTTTATATTCAGAAAGTGGCGGAAGAGGAGAAGGTAGATCTCGCCTACATAAGCATGGAGGGTAGCGCGAGTTACTGGTTCAAGTTCTGGAGAGAGAAGGCTACCAATCGTTCGTGGGAGGGCCTGAAAACAGCCATATCGGCCGTTTTGGAGGCGGATATCGGGGAACTGTGTTTGAACGATTGGCAACCGCTGGCCCAGGAGGAAACCATCGAGGATTATGTCCGGGAATTTGAGATGCTGGTGGGGGAAGCACGGGGTGTTTATGATGAGCAGATGTTGGGGTATTTTTCCGTGGTCTGCGTGAGGATATAAGGGACAGGTCCGTATTCACGATCCTCAAGAATTAACGGTGGCGATGAAATCGCGAGGGATGTCGAGGACGCTTCACGAGAGCCAGAGGAGGAAGTGGAATGGGTTCAAGAGCAATCAATCGGGGCCGCGAGCGATGGGGGGTGGTAGTGCGTCAACGAAATTCACGAGACCCAGCATGAATCGCCCAGGAGGAATGGGGGGGAGAGTGTCGGTTCAGTGAGGAGAGAGGGCGTCGTGCACAAATGGCAGCGTGAGATCTAGCAATGTCGGGGGAAGTGATAACAGGGGAATATGGTGAGGAATCTTCCCTACCGGAGTCTGAAGAGAAAAGAAGAGGGACGGTGTTTTCGTTGTGGGGGTCCATTTTGCCCCTGGACCACCACTGTCTCAGAGAAGGTTTAGGGTGGTACTCTCCTTGCGGAGGATGATGAAGAAGAGATAATGTAGACATAACCGACGTTGACCAGAAACCCATGGAATGTCGCATGCTCGGCGGAGGGGATAACGCACCCCAAACAATGAAATTAGTAGGGAGGATGGGGAGAAAAGAAGCGTATCAGTACTCATCGACAGTGGCGCCCACCACACTTTATTAGTTGGGCACTGGCGGAGGAGCTGAAGTGCCAATAACGGACCACACCCCCATATATGTAAGTCTGGGTGATGGACACGGGAAAGAGAACCACGGGGTACTGTGAAAAGGTAATGATTACCATTAGCGGGGACCGACGTTGAAGAGAAGGTTTCACTTGTTTGAGTTGGGAGGTGTGGATGTCATATTAGGGGTGGATGGTTGGCAAAGTTAGGAGAATTATGCTTAACTGGGGGAAGATGACTATGGTGTATAAACAGGGCAACGAGAAGGTGATTTTAAAGGAGATCCCACTTTGACTAGACGAGTGGTGGGGCCCAAGTCTTTATTAAAAATTACAGAGGTGGAATCATGGACCTGGTGGGGACCTATCACGGGAAAGAAAGAGATACAGTAGTATGTCAGGGAACTGTCTGAGAAACAACAGGCAGAGATGGAGGAAAATTCTGGACTCACACTCCCGTGTTTTTCAAGAAAGGGGTGGCCTACCGCCAAAAGAAATATGGTGCACCGCATCACCCTTAAGAAGGAGAAGCTCCTGTAAACGTTCGACCTTATCGTTATCCGCATCTATTGAAAGAGGAAATTGAGAAACAGGTTGCTGATATGTTGAAAGCAGGTGTTAATGTCGTCCAAGCATCAGCCATATTCAAGTCCCGTTATGTTTGGTAAAGAAAAGATGGAAGCTGGGGGGCGGTTTTGTGTGGACTACCGGGCCTTGAACGAGCAACGATCACCAGATAAGTTTCCCATTCCAAATAAAGAGCTCCTGGATGAGTTGAGAGAGGTACTATTTCTCAAATAGATCTAAAGCGGATACCATCAAATTAGGATGGAAGAGAGGATGTGGGTAAAACAGCGTTCCGACACATCAGGGCACTATGAATTTTTAGTGATGCCTTTGGCCTCACCAACGCACCCTTCAACGTTTCAAAGTGCCTGAATAGTTTTACTACAGCCATATCTAAGGAGGTTGTTTTGGTCTTCTTTGACGATATTTTTGGTGTACAGTTCTACTTGGGAAGACCCCTGGAGCAAGTGAGTTTGAGTTTGGTGCTGCATAGGTTACAGCAGAATGAATGGGCGGCCAATAAAAAGAAGTGTGAATTCGGGAGAAGACAGATTAGATACTTGGGGCATCAAATTTCAGAAGAAGGGGTTGAGATGGACCCAGAGAAAATTAAGGATGTCTTGGAGTGGGAAGAACCGAAGAGCCTAAAAGCTTTGAGGGGATTTCTTGGCTTAACCGGCTACTACAGACGTTTTGTACAGGGGTATGGAAAAATTGCAAAACCATTAACAGAGTTGTTGAAGAAGGGTAACTTTGTATGGTCTGATCAAGCCACGGCTGCCATGACAAGGCTGAAGGAAGCTGTTACATCTGCACCGGTGCTGACATTACCAGATTTTTCCCAACCCTTTCATATAGAATGTGATGCTTCTGGGGGAGGAGTTGGAGCAGTGTTAACTCAGAAAAAAAAACCAATAGCCTTTTTCAGGAAGGCTCTATCAGATAAATCTTTAAGCAAATCAATCTATGAAAAAGAGTTAATGGCTTTAGTAATGGCTATTCAACATTGGAGGCCATACCTGTTGGGACAGAAGTTTATTGTACATACTGACCAGCGGAGCCTAAAATATTTACTCGATCAAAGAATAACAACTCAAAATCAACAAAATTGGATAGCAAAACTATTGGGCTATGATTTTGAGATTGTGTATAAGGTGGGAAGTACTAACAAGGTGGCGAATGCCCTGTCTAGAAGAGGAGAAAGAGGTGGGGAAGAAAAGGAACTGCAGATGATTGCTAGACCATATTGGCAGGACTTTCAAGAAGTCCTCAAAGAAGTGGAGCAAGATGAAGGGCTGAGAAAAGTGATATCCGAAATTCAAAAGGACCCAAATTCGCATACGGCTTATACGTTAGAGCATGACAGGTTGCATTACAAAGGAAGATTGGTAATATCCGCCCACTCTGTGTGGATCCCCAAATTATTGGCTGAGTTTCATGTGACCAACACAGGAGGTCATTCAGGGGTCTATAGAACTTACAGGAAGGTGGCCCAATCTCTGTATTGGGTGGGAATGAAGAAGTCCGTTACTGATTTTGTTGCTGAATGCTTGGTGTGCCAACAGCACAAGTACTTGGCAGCTTCTCCTCAAGGGTTGTTACAACCCTTACCTATACCTCATGCTGTTTGGGAAGAGGTGAGTATGGATTTTATTGTGAAGATGCCCAAATCACAAGGTTATGATGCAATATTAGTGGTGGTTGATCGCTTGAGTAAGTATGCTCATTTTTTGTCACTCAAACACCCTTATACAGCACGGACAGTGGCCGAGGTGTTTGTTAAAGAGATAGTGAGATTGCATGGGATTCCAGTTTCGATTCGATAGGGACCCCTTTATTCCTCAGCTTGTTCTGGAAGGAGCTGTAAGATGCAGGGCACCCAACTCAGGGATGAGTACAGTATCACCCTGAAAACAAGATGGTACAACAAGAAGTTTTAAATCGGATTTGTTGGAGGGTTATTTACGGTTTGTTTTGCTCTGGGAAAAACAACCAAAGAAGCTAAAGAAAGCAATGCTTACCCTTGGGCCGAGTACTGGTATAACAACCAGTTACCAAGGAGCAAACAAGATGCACCCCTTTCGAAAACTGTTTAGCAGGGCTCCCCCATCTTGAGTAGATTTGTACCAGGAAGAAAAAACCCAACCTGTGGAGGCGGTGGCTCAGGAAGCTAAGAAAAAAGGGGATATTGAAAGCACTTAAGAATTAAAAGTTTTCCCATTTTAAACTCGAGTGGGCCACAAGAAATTTGGGATTGACACAACAGGCGAATCAATATAAAAAGAGGAGGCCAACAACGACTATTAAGGTGGATGATTGGGGTTCTATCTTAAGATCAGAAACCTCCATAGGGGCAGTCTTCCCATGCCAGTGAAGATGCATCCAAAGTGTGCAGGCCGGTATTTTGGGGCGTTTCCACAGGTTGGTTTGGCAACAAAGGGGTTGCAGTGGCTTGTAGACTCATGATTGCCAGAATCTGCTAGGGATCCACTCAGTGTCTCATGTTTATCCAAAACTAAAAAAGGCAATAGGTGACAAGACGGTGGAGAAGGAATTGCCTTCTGAACTGCAGGGAGAAGGCCCCACATACTGGCCTGTGAGGATTCTGGACAGCAGGCAAGTACAGCAAGGAGATGAGCTGTTAGAGCAAGTTCTGGTGGAGTGGCAAGAAGGAGGAAAAGAGGGTGCAACATGGGAAGACAGGATCACAATCCAAGATCAATATCCTGATTTCAACTTTGAGGACAAAGTTGCTGAAAAAGAGGAGGGTAATGTTAGGAGGTTGAAAGTATACGAGAGACGTAAGAAACGTGAATAGGCTAACTGCCTTGGCAGTTAGGAAGAGCGGGAAATAACTTCATATAAATAGTTTAGAATAAACGTTTTATACAGTTTTGGATTAATTGTGAATTCTGACAGGAATTATCATCCTGTGGGGGAGGTTAGGCTCTCTTTGTTTCTGATATTCTGCACTTTGGGTTATTGTTAATAAAAGGAGGAGGTTATTCATCAGTTTATATTGTGTGCTTGGTGTAGTCTGTGTTTGTTTGTGAAGGTTTCTTGAGAAGAAACCTATCATGGTTCCTCTAAATTGGGCGAAGTGCAATTTAGAGGATAAAGGCACTAATAACTGTTAATTAGAAAGAAAAAAAAAAGATTGACATTGTTACTAACTTTGAAACTTTTTATACATTTATTTGATTTTATCATAATCCTCAACTGTTTATTTTTTAATCAACATGTGTAATTGCATTTTATCCTCTAATAAAGTGGACCAGTTGTTTTAAAGGAGCTGGATCTATTTGCTTTCCTTTTCCTGTGTTTTAATGGGTACTGTAACTGCAGGCTTTATTGCTATGTATGCTACTCTTGCTAGCAGAGATGTGGACTGTTGCTTGATTCCAGAGTCACCCTTCTACCTTGAAGGAAAGGGTGGACTTTTTGAATTTATTGAGAAAAGGCTGAAAGAAAATGGGCATATGGTCATAGTCATAGCGGAGGGAGCAGGACAAGATCTTCTTACTGAAAGTATGCAAGACATGGACCAGAAAGATGCTTCTGGAAACAAACTACTTCAAGATGTTGGTTTATGGATATCTCATAAGATCAAGGTATTTTTATACATAAGATGGTTTTTAAAACATAATTCCTTTTCCTTGGAATTTTTGTAGTATAATTCTACTCTCGCTGAGGAATTAATTACTTGGGGAGATCTTTCCAATTACTATTAATTGGTTGGACTATATTTGATAGAAGCTGAATTAGAATTATATTATATACAATCAATGAATGGAATACTCAAGGTATGCAAGAGATCCTGTTATCTCCCCATTCTTTAATTATATCCCTCCATCTGTGTTCCCTCGTCTTACCTATCGGAAACTTCCCTTGATGCTTCTATTTATCTCCACTCAACTAACTTATTTAGGCTAACTACTGATATGTTGAATTAACTAGTAAAGTGGTTACCTAACAATATTCTTTTGATTAATTTCAATCTTAATGGACTGTATTTCACTCCCTTAAAATTGACGTTCATAATAATCTAATCTCTGCCTTTCTGAGCTCTAAAAACATTTTTGGATTCTTGAACTGTTAAAAACTACAAAAGTAGATTGAAATTTTTTATGCGTCATTTGGAAAAACATTTTGAGTTGAGTTTTTCATGATTTTGTTTACTCTGCACTATGACTACTATTTATCATTGCATATCAGTAAAAAGCTCACCATTTATCACACTCCTCTCTATCTCAGCCAATAGCTAGATGGCATATTTACTCCTGCTTCAACTTGCTCTCTGGTGCGTTGTTTTCCTTGCTTGCGTCCTCAGGTTTTAGGGCATGCCAGGATGTCTCCTTGGCACTTCTCTGATTGAGAGGGATGGTGTGTCTACAAAGACACTCTGAAACTTAATTCAGCAAAGCCTATTTTAAACATAACAAATAAGCAATCAATAAACAATGTATAGCTCGTAAATGGAAACCTATTTATAATATTTTAATGGACTTTTATCTGAGTGAGTCTAAATTAACTTGATTCAATAGCCTTAATACCTCATTAGTGCCTTATTGAGTATTTAGTTGCGTTTATTCAGCTACTCTGAGCTGATGTCCGTGTAGGTGACCGACATCATCCCGGCATCAAGTAGTGCATTTACAAGTCAGTGTTTTAGGGTTTTCTAATTAGAAAAATCAATTGTACAATTCTTTTTCTTTTCCATTTTAAAAAACATTTGTCATTTTATAACAGGATCACTTTGCAAGGAAGGATAAGATTGCCATCAATCTTAAATATATAGGTCAGTTTCTCTTACATTATTTTCTTCTTTTTTGACCAATTCTTTATAGCTTCTTTAGTCTTTCATTTTTATTTAGAATTTGAAAGGTTTCTTAAAATTCGAATTCGGCAACTATTTAATTCTTTAGTGGAATAAAGGTTTGTTATTGTTGTTGTATGTGCCAGATCCAACCTACATGATCCGAGCAATTCCAAGCAATGCATCAGATAATGTCTACTGTACACTTCTTGCTCAGAGTGCAGTGCATGGTGCAATGGCAGGGTATACTGGATTTACATCTGGACTGGTCAATGGCAGACATACTTATATCCCATTCAATGTGAGTTACTAAATTTTGGACTGTTTCATAATGTTTTCCTCTTTTTTTTTTTTTTTTGGTTGGGTACAATAATTTTCTTCTGGTGCTTAATATCAAGCGGTGGTTGGATTAAGAGGTTGGATTGAGTTCTATTTTTGAGCGTGCCGGACTTGAACTGGACTCTTTTCTATGGAAAATTCCTGTGGTCAAGCAAAAAAAAAGAGATTTTCGCTAGTTAGCTACTATCATTGGGACGGAAGAATGATATTTAAAATATACAGAGTTAGTTATATGTTTTACCACACCGTGTACATATGAACATGGCTAGCCTTTTTCTATTGCTTCTCCAATTTTACATTGATGGTTTATATTCAGGATTCTTTATACAATGGAGAATTTATGTTCAAATTTTGATCCCAGAGAATCATTGAGAGGCAGAACAAGGTTGTGATTACTGATAGAATGTGGGCAAGACTCCTTTCTTCTACCAACCAGCCAAGCTTTTTGAGCCCGAAAGATTTAGACGAAGCCAAGAAAGCAGAACAACCTCCGAGTCAATTGTTAGAAGGGAGCAGTTGCAATGATATTGGTGAAGCTGAGAAAAAAGAAAACACTTTCAGTCAATTGTTAGAAGGGGACAATTTCAAAGATCAACAACAATCTGAAAACCATGCAGACAATGGTATCGAGACGATAAATTAGATGTAGATTTGTTTACCTACAAGTGTATTTGGTGACATGTTGTATCATTTTTACCCAATGCCCCTCCAAGCCTGGAGTACTGGGAGCATGTTTAGAAAGTTGGTACGTCTTGCTTTACTTGATCATTATATTAAGAATTGATCAGAATTATTCAATCAGGGGCTTGAAGGGACTAGTTTATTTGCTTTTTGTTGTTCTCTTTCTTTCTTTTGGTTTTATAAACAGTTTTACTGGAACGAGGCATAAACAACTCCTTTTTACTACATTTTTTTTTTTCCCTTTAATCTTACGTTTGTTGTGATCACGATTTTTTCTTGAGCTGACATGGTCATGGTAGAGTGAGACCAAACCTTTCCTGAGCACAATGCTAATATATTATTTTCAAATAGTGAGGGAAAAAGAAATATATATAAATTTGTTTGTTTACTCGTTTATTTAGTGGAAAAAAAACCTTTACTCGTTTTTATTTATTCTATTTCAGTTTTTATTTCTAGTTATGGTTGATTTGACAAAAATACTCATAATTAATATAACAAAAAAATTTGTAAACTAAGATAGTTCAAACTTTTAGGTATCTAGTATGTATAAACCATTTAAATTATGTAAAGATCAAAACAAAAAAACAGTAAAGACTCAATTTTATTTTAATTTATTATTACATTTTTTAATTTATTATTTATTTAGAAATAAATGTATTGTTAATGATATATTAAAAAATTATTTTACAATCTTTCCAATCATTCGGTATTATAATATCAAAATTAATATATAGAAAAAGATACCTTTATATATTTAGGGTTACAACAATAAAAAGAAAAACAATTGAGGAGTTATTCTTTATAATAGGTTTTACAAACAAATGACAAGCTTCGATTCTTTCATCTAGGTGATTTTCCTGATTAAGAAAATACCGAAAAAGAATGATAAGTTCACTAGCCCCTATATACACCAGAGGGCTCTGCATTCTGAACAATCCAAGGGTGATCAAGGAGCTTGTGCAGTGGTAACCGTTGCGATGAATCCTTGACAAGCATCTGTCAATAAAAAAAAATAGAGGAAAGAGTTACTAAGGCAAAAACGTTTGAACAAATATATAATAAACATTGAGAGTTGATAACAAACCTGACTGATAAGATCCTTTGCACCAGAGGATACAATTGGTTTAGGAGGGAACTTAAGATCCACATGTACTATCCTGTAAATAAGGTTTTCAAAAGGGAACATAAGATCCACTTGCACTGCAATTTAAATTGATTTAATGTTTACAAAGCAGTTTCTAATAAGAGACCAAAGTGGACAGCAGCATGAAACTCGGTAGATTCAGTAGCAAAATCACCCGAGTTGGTTAAATCTTAGTCCCCTCAGCGGGAATAATGATAAAAAAGTAGTTGGGACAATAGAAAAAACAGTCTATCATGCTGATGCTAAATTATATTCAACTGATTGGTGCTTTACCTCCTGTAAGTATCCGAGTGTTCTTTAGCCTCAAAGGGAGGGACCCCATAAAGAAACTCATAACACAGCACACCAAGGCTCCATATATCCACACTCGCATCATGTTCTACACTCTCCACTATTGAAATATAAAGTATTAAACAATAAATATAGTGCAGCACCATTTATGAAAAGAGTAACAGAAAAAATATTTGTCCAGTGTTCATGTGGCATAAGCATACCCATCTCGGGAGGAAGGTAATCCAGTGTGCCACACATTGTCCGCCTGCGATTAAATGTGTGCACTGACCACCCAAAGTCCGCTATTTTTAACTCACCCTGAGATTAAAAAAATGTTAACTTAAATAACGAGGACAACAAAAAGAGCCACATAAGAAACAGCAGCCTGAGTTTAGACGATCACCTGTGCACCAACAAGAAGGTTTTCTGGTTTAATATCCCTATGGATTACATGTTTTCCATGGCAATATATTAGGGCCCGAGCCAATGACGCAACATACTGCTCTCAAACACAAATAAACATTTCGTCCATATCAGAAGAATGCCAACCACGTATCTAAGCAACCGCACTCCAAGTGAAATATTATGTCAAATGTTCCAGTATTTACTTGCTTCTTAATACATTAAGACAGTAATGTGGAAGAAAACACTTGAGTCAATCTTTTGCATCACACAAACAACAGTACACGAGGGGAGAGGAAAAAACAATAGCTGCTATACTTACAGTAGCTGCACGCCTTTCACTGAAATACTTGCACTTTTGCAATTCCTTGTAAAGTTCACCTTTGGGTGCATACTCTAAAATCAAATACACTCTTTTCTGCAGTAATGTTATTCCACATAAAATGTTAATAGCAGAGCATTTTAAACTTCTTCGACAATATCAGCATAAAAAGTAAAAAACAAACGTACCTGGTCATAAAAGTACCCATAGAGTCGCAAGATGTGGGGATGTCGGAGATGACTTTGAATCTCAACTTCTCGCCGAAGTTGATGCACAACTTAGGATTGCTGCAATTGGCTCTTAAAGAGTACTTTCAAAGCAAAAATGTGATTACTCTGTACCAAAACCACATATCAGTCCCACACTACAATTAACTTCCGAAAACAAAAAAGTAAAGAGAAACATTCTGTACACATTAGAGCACAATAAATCACAGTCCTCATACAAATACAATGGTCAATAACAGCTCTGATCTTAAACCAACAATTCCAAAAACCTGTTAACAGTGTTACGTGAAACATTTTAGATGCTTTATATTGCATCCCATCTCATCAAAAGACTATAACAACAAGTAGTCACAATCCAACAACTGTAAAAACTTGAGTAGCTACACTTCTACACAGCTAATCGTTCAAACCCTCAATTCGAAATTAAGAGAACAAAAGAAAAAACGAAAACACCGTAGAACTCGTGACAAAGCAGTGGCGCACAATTATCCCCAAATAAATCGAAAAACCAATGAAATAATCCATAGAAATTAGCATAATCACGAGTCATCATCCCTGATCAGAAGAATACAATATCAACAGCAGAAACCCTAACAAAATAAAACTCACACTCTTCTCTCTTGCCAAATAGACGTGGCCGAATTTCCCCCTTCCAAGAGGCTTTCCAACCTCGAAATCGTTCAGCGTCCACCTCCTCTCCGCAGCTGAACCAGACAACTCGTAAGAATCCTGGCAAAACGAAACACCACAGAATCAGAACAGAACTGCGACGAAACCTTGTTGCCGATTAATTCCGCAAAGCAAAATAATTAAAAAAATGGTTAGATTTGGAGGAACGAAAACCCTAGATTTGTGAGCGTGAGAGAGAGAAGAGAAGAGAACAGAGACCTTGTGTTGTTGAGGCTGAGTCTCTGTTGCGATGGCCATGATTATGGAAGCGCAATTGCAAGAATGATGGAGAGAGAGAGAATTTGAGAGAGTGATTTTAATGGACACAGAGGCTGTGCTGTGTTGTGTTGGGTTGTGTTTGCATTAACACACAGCACAACAACAGCTTTCTTCCTGCAACGGTCGAATAACGGATAGCAAGCCACGTGTTCCAATCCCGCTTTCTAAGCTTTTCAAATACCTCCTTTCCTTTTTGTCTTTTTTTTTTCTACAGGAAGAGGAGCGTCCTTTCTAGCACGTTATATTATATGTCCAGAAAAAAATAAACAAATATTTTTCGTAAATAAATAAATAAACGATTACTGTTCTTTTAAATAATTGAACAAAATAACGTTTTTATGAAATTTGTTATAACTTTTTTAATTATAAGATTGTTTTAAAATCAGTAGTCGACTCACCCTTTATTTTTTATTTTTTGCTTTACATGTGTTCCAATGTGTAACATTTAATAATAAAACATTTTAAAAAAATCACTCATTTAAGAAATATATGGAATTTTCTTCTTAAAGCATAAAAAAATTACTTGTTTTTAGAATAAGAAAACTAAGGAAAAAAAGTTATTTTATTTATTAAGAAATATGTTAAATAATAATTTTAAACAAATTGATGATGATATGAAAGAATGATATGTGATAAATATTCAAGTTACG